ATCATGACCCCAACGAGGGTTATGCAAGGCCATTGAGACTCGGCGCTATTTTTCCAGAACACCATGGCGGAATGTTTCAAGGACCTACTGTACAAAAACGTCCTAATTTGGATCGACGACATCCTGATGTGGGCGAACACCATCGACGAGTATGTGAGCGTGCTGCGCGCCGTGTTCGATGTATGTACGAAGTTTCGACTGCGTCTGAACCCACACAAGAGCAAGCTACTGTGCAGCGAAATCAAATGGTGCGGCAGAATAATAGACGGCGACGGGGTGCGACAAGATCCCACGAGAATCCAAGCACTATGCGACATCCCGTACCCGACCGATGCAAGTCAGCTGCAGCAATTCATATGCGCAGTGAATTGGATACGCGACAGCCTGAATGGCTTTGCCAAACAATCGATCCACTCCAAAAACGACTCACAGAAGCATTGGTTGGAAAGAAAAGAAAAAAAGAATCGCGACATCAATCACAATCGACTTGACCAAGAAGAACGGAACAGTTTCGACGCAGTCAAAGAACTGATGCGGAACGCCGCTCAATTGTGTCACCCACATGAAGACGCTGCGATGTGCCTATTGACCGACGCCTCCGCCTACGGCTGGTCCATCGTGGTCACCCAAGTCCACAATTACGGCGACGATACGCCGATCCAAAACCAACAACATCAACTCCTCGTATGCCAAAGCGGCATGTTTGACAAAACGCAAGTCAACTGGTCAGTTATCGAAAAACAAGGCTATCCTATTGCGCGTGCCTGCGACACCCTCAAGTACCTACTGCTACCACCCAAGGGGTTCCTCATGTATTCTGACCACAAGAACCTCATACGCGTCTTCGAGCCCCACAACGACCTTAAGGCGCACACGCGTGAGAAGCTGATCCGCTGGGCCGACATGATCGGCCAGTACCGATATGTCATCCAGCACATCGACGGAGTGCATAACCTATGGGCCGACCTCATGAGCCGATGGGGCATACCACAGCCCACAGAGGCGAAAGTACGACTAATTTGGTGGGAAAGCCCGCCGAAATGGAGACACTACTCATTCCGAAGGACGGCACATCGAAAGTACGTGCGCGCGTTGGGCAAATGGACAAATAAGAAGAAAAAACAACCCAAGCATGTCTACAAGCCGCCGCCACCGAAGTTACGGCCGCTGGACGACGCCGACTTCGTGTGTACAACGTTAACTTACATTGCTGATTGACATTGTCAAATCGATTCGAAATTGGAGCCACCAGCAGTACTAACTCGAATTACTACCTGCAATGGTACAGCTTACATTGAATACAAGTACTGTTTAACAATACTACTACTACAGTAAGGGGAAAAGGATAAAAAATTGTGGCCATTTGACTTTTACTGGTGGTCACCGAAAATGTCATGTGTTGGTGTTTTGTTCGTGGTTAAACTGTGGAACTTAACGAGAATTGCTTGGGCATATCTAGCCCATGCGTATCGACGCGTAGGCATTCGAACTGTATGGTATGGCCAGCACTACAGCTCACAAAGTAAAACTCTAACACGATTACCTTCGCAAAGATATAGGGCCCACGGCTTGTTTGCTTGTTTTACGCTAGCTATGATGGAGTGATATAACACTTACTGGGCTGCTCGGCTATGAAGCAACAACCCAGTAATGCCCACTGAGTAAAACTCAACCACACCATTTAACCACGCGTGAAGCCCCATGTCTAACTCTACCTGAACACCTGAACATTCATGAGCAAAACCCCAAAACACCACAAGTGCCTTCCCTACAGTCGTAGCATTCACCGTTGGTACGATTAACGGTGTACAACGTTGTATGCCTTCGTGTTTCACGTTAACGATAGGATGTACATATCGTAGCAAGCAATTACGGTAGTCCCACCCACTTACTCAGGGACGTTTTAGGTCAATAGAGATATTTTGCAAGTCAAAAATTTAGCAATATTTCCAGCTTTCACCTTCGTTCGATATTTAAACGACTGAAAGTCAGAAGTCTCAAAGCCACGTGTTTTGCAAAGTCTGGTTCACGGACTTTGCAAAACACGTGGCTAGTGTGGCATTCGACAATGCAATCCCCACGACTTCGATTGCTACGGCACTCCACGGCCAGCTTGCCTCTGCGTCTGTTGCTGATTCGACGCCACGCCGCTGTAGAGTGGTTGACAATACCAGATGTGACTTTCTCGTTGGACCAGTACCCCGACACCGACTCCAAGGAGAAGTTCCGGTTTGTGAAGGAAGACCTCAAACGACTCAGACGATGTTTGGACATTGCACTGGTATCGAGGCTCTTTGCATCGTGCTGCGCCGGTTTGCTGTTCCCGACCGGTGGTCCGACTTGATGGCGATGTTTGGCCGCTCTTGCAGTTGCCTATGTAACATCTACCTCCACACCCTCGACCTCATCTACAACAAGTTCCGTGACACGATATATCTCGACTTCAACCGGATTCGCACTAAGTTGGCGTCCTTTAGCCAAGCGATTGTCGACAAGGGTGGCGAGGTACACAATGTGTGGGCGTTCATTGATGGGACAGTTCGTGAGTGTTGTCGCCCTGCCGGAGACGAAAGGCAGCGATCCGTGTTTAACGGTCACAAGAGACGTCACGCAATCAAGTTCCAAACGTTGGTCACCCCCGATGGCATCATTTCACACGCGTTTGGCCCAATCGAAGGACGCCGCCATGACCTTACCATTTTGCGGCAATCGAACCTGGAGGAAGCCATCCAAGCTAATGGTGGTTTTGAGGGCTACATCATTTATGGGGACCCTGCGTATGGCTACTCCAATCAACTTGCGTCTCCGTTTGGCGGTGCCACGTTGAATCAGGCACAGCGATATGTCAATGCGAGTATGAGTCGTGTTCGAGTCAGTGTCGAGTGGAGCTATGGGCAAATTTTACAGTACTGGCCAATTGTCGATTTCAAAAAAAAAAGATGCGAGTTGGAGGTAGCCCAGTAGCCAAAATGTACAAAGTCGCAGTTCTGTTAACAAATTGCATTACTTGTGTGCGAGGAAAAAATACAGTGTGTACTTTGGGGTATCACCACTAACACTTGAAGATTACCTTAATTTCAATCAATAAAATGGTTTTTATTCCTTTTTATTCACAATTGATTTCACTAACATCCCCATGTCAACGAATAATTTTTCCAACAGTGCGCCGCGTTGTGCATTCTCGGCCATTTGAGCCTGTCGTAGCTGTTGCTCTTCACGGTCAAAGTCTAGACGCCCCATTCTAAACCTATGATCATCCATTTGTTTCTTCTTCTCGAATTCGAGGAGTTCATCAACCATAGCGTCAAATTGCTCACGTTTGGCAGACATAGGGCGTTGCCGTTTTGATACACGCTGCTCCGCCTCGACACACAGTTGCGACGCCGTAGATTCCAATGACTCCTTGCGCTTCTTCTCCTTGGACTTCACAGCTGTCTTGAGAGTGTCGGCCTCGTCACGTCGGTCCACCAGATCTTGAAGAAGTTGAACTTTCTCCGGCACGTCTTAGTCGCTGCCCGTACCAACTGTCGCTGGGATTTGTCCGTTGCCTTGAATGCTTCTACCAGTCCCTCGTAGTGGTCGCGGACAGAGCGGTGGGGGATGCCTTGGTTCGAGTACAACGAGAGACTGGCAGCTACCTCCTTCCATCGCTGAATCAACGTACCGTGCTCGCCGTCGTAAGGCTCCACGCGAAGAACCTCGCGTAACAACGCAAGGTCCAAATCGTCCGTCCACTTTAACTGTGCTTGGTTAGGTTTACCCATGTCAAAAGGGCAAATGCAATACCTAGTGGAGCAGTTGAAACCAAGCAATATGATTCGCTGAAGAAGTTGGTTGGAGCAGTGCAGACTGCGGCCCCCAAAGTCAACACTTTCAGCGATATCCCGGACCAGATATCCGACTCATATATCAATATTCGAAATTCGATCCGAAGTTTTAGTGTGTGATTTTCAAATTTATGACTTGCAAAATGTCTCTAATAGTACCAAATTCCCTGGGTTTTGACCAATTGAGTGGGTGTGTCACCCACTCACTCGGGGAATTGGTCAATTATTCTGGATTTGACTTAGAGCTCATTAATTGACCGCTCCTACGACGACCTAACCCTGTAGTAAGGGGGGGGAATAGCTCAGGTGGTAGAGCATCGGTTTCTTAACTCAAAGGTCGTGGGTTCGATTCCCGGATTCCCCGGATTATTTCCGCAAGGAGTTATCCGTCCCTCCCTGGGGAATCCGGATAACAAGGGCTGCGTACGAAGACGAGGACCGAACTTCGAAGAAGATCGGTCGAAGCACGAGGTATGAAGCGTTGAGCGAAGTAAAAACCGAAGATTACACACCGCCCCTGGC